AAAAAAAAAAAAAAAAAATTTTTTTTAAACTATTACTTTAAGAGATGCTGAAACCAGCACGTTGACTATCGTAGACAAACGTTTAGAAGTTACTTAATAAAGACAAGATTTAAGGCACAGGCCCCTATGAAACTGCTTGTTGAAGATAAAAGCAAATCTACAACAGTGCTTTTTATCCTGATTGAATAAAGCCCAAACAGAGATTTAGAGATCAAGGTCAAAATATACTTGGCAATGCACTCTACCTGTCGGCTTCATCAAGAATGATGATCTTATGTCGGCCTTTGGGAAGGGTGACTTTTTGTTGAGCAAACATTTTAATTTTATTCCTCACAACGTCAATGCCCCTGAAAGAAAAACAAGGTTTTTTTTTTTTTATTCTTTTTTTCCTTTTACTTATAAAGCACATCTGAGCAGAGAACAGGTTTTTATCGGCACCTTCTGAGACTAATTCAGTTGCCTTCAGGAGGACTTTTAAACAATCAGCGTATCAGGGACTACAGAACCCAATTTCCGTTTTTGAGTTTCTCTTTGGGGCAATTGTAAGTATTTATGAGGACTAAAATTTTTATGACTATGGTTCTTTCTTGGAAGCCTTTCAAAGAACAAAAAGGGCTCAGGGAGGTGGTTCCCAGCACTTTGGGAGGCCGAGGCGGGCGGATCACAAGGTCAGGAGTTTGAGACCTGCCTGACCAACATGATGAAATCCCGTCTGTACTAAAAACACAAAAATCAGCTGGGTGTGGTGGCGCGCACCTTTAATCCCAGCTACTCGGGAGGCTGAGGCAGGAGAGTTGCTTGAACCTGGGAGGTGGAGGTTGCAGTAAGCCGAGATCACACCACTGCACTTCAGCTTGGGTAACAAAGCCAGGCTCCATCTCAGGGGGGGAAAAAAAAAAAACCATACATATATACTTTGTTTTGTTTAGATAGAGTATTGCTGTGTCATCCAGGCTGGAGTGCAGTGGCCACTTGACCTTTTTGTAATCTATGTTCTGAGTCTTAGTGACCTCACTTCCTGTATTGTGAAACAGCTGGCCAATTCATCATACTAGCAATGAGTTCATCATAATTTATCAATTACTCTCAACCATGCTAAAAAAGTTAAAATAAGAAAATGAAAGAATGGTGGAATTGCCTAGAATGATAAAACAGTGGGAAGAATAGAAACAACTGTCGGCCAGGCACAGTGGCTCACACCTATAATCCCAGCACCTTGGGAGGCCGAGTTGGGGTTTTCACTTGAGTTCAGGAGTTCAAGACCAGCCTGAGCAACATGGCAAAAGCCTATCTCTACAAAAAATACAAAAATTAGCTGGGCATGGTGATGTGCACCTGTGGTCCCAGCTATCCAGGGGGCCAAGGTGGGAAGATCGCTGGAGCCAGGGAGAGGCTGAGGCTGCAGTGAGCCATGATGGCAAAACTGAACTGTAGCCTGGGCAACAGAGACCCTGCCTAAAAACAACAACAACAACAAAAACTGTCATAGTGCCTCATCTTTCAGTTTTTTAACTGCATTGCTTGAGATATCATATTAGCTTTCAAAAGATGTAACAGAGGTTCAGATATACCACCTTTGTTATCTGGTAAACTTTCACTGACCACAGCTGAGAATTCAAAATTTTTCATTTTCCACCCACAACAGCACAGAGAAAAAGAATTGAGAGGAGGACTCTTCCTAATTATTAGATGAATCAGGAAATAACTGCAGTGAAGGCCGAGGCAGGTGGCTCACATCTGTAATCCCAGCACTTTGGGAGGCCACGGCAGGCAGACCACCAGAGGCCGGTAGTTCAAGACCAGCCTGGCCAATGCAGCGAAACCCCATCTCTACTAAAAATACAAAAATTAGCCGGACATGGTGGCTAATGCCTGTAATCCCAGCTACTCGGGAGGCTGAGACAGGAGAATCATTTGAACCAGGAGGCAGAGGTTGTAGCGAGCCGAGATCACACTACTGCACTCCAGCCTGGTGACAGAGCAAGACTCTGTCTCCAAAAAAAGAACTGCAGAGACACCAACAGCAACATTCTAGACTCTGCTGATGGTGAAACTGATCACATAAGCAAAATCTCAGACCATGAATCTTCAGATGACAACACCCTCCATACATTTCCCCAAACTGAAGAATCAAGGAGTCAACAATACGAAGCTGTCCCTTGGTGTTCATGGGGACTGGTGCAAGGCCCTTCCTCAGACACCAAAATCCACGGATGCTCAAGTTCCTTATATGAAATGGCATAGTATTTGCATATTAACTTATACACATCCCTCAGTACACTTTATTTTTATACAGAGATGGGGTTTCATTATGTCACCCAGGCTGGTCTCAAACTCCCGGACTCAAGAGATCCACCTGCCTCAGTCTCCCAAAGTGCTGGGATTGTAGACGTGAACCGCGATGCCTGGCCAGCCTTCCATACATGTTACATATACAGGCTGAGTATCCCTTATCCCTAATGCTTGAGACCAGAAATGTTTCAGATTTGGCTTTTTTTCACATTTTGGAATTTTGCATTATATTTACTGGCTGAATATCCCAGCGCAGTGGCTCACGCCTGTAATCTAAGCACTTGGGGAAGCTGAAGCAGGAGGGTCACTTGAGCCCTGGAGTTCAAGGCCAGCCTGGGCAACATAGTGAAACCCCATCTCTATTAAAAACAAAAACAAAAACAACAACAAAAAAACCCCACCATTAAAATGAGCTGTCACGGTGGCGTGAGTCTACAGACCTAGAAACTGGGGAGGCCAGGGCAGGAGGACTGCTGGAGGCTAAGTTTGAGATCAGCCTGGGGAACACAGTGAGACCCCATCTCTCCAAAAATTTTAAACTTGAAAAAAGAGAAAACCTGTTTTTTTGTTTTTGAGACAGTTTTGCTCTTGTCACCCAGCCTGGAGTACAACGGTGCAACCTCAGCTCACTGCAACCTCCTTCTCCTGGGTTCAAGTGATTATCTTGCCTCAGCCTCCCAAGTAGCTGGGATTACAGGTGCCCGACACCACGCCCAGCTAATTCTGGTATTTTTAGTAGAGACCGGGTTTCACCATGTTGGCCTGACTGGTCTCAAACTACCGATGTCAGCTGATCCACCCGCCTCAGCCTCCTAAAGCGCTGAGATTATAGGCGTGAGCCACCACACCCGGCCGAGAAAAACAGCTTTAAAAAATATGCATTAAAAAATAATAAAAATAAACCGGCAAGTCACCAAGTGAGCAATCCTTATGCTCTTTCACTGGGAAGGAGTGGAGGAAATCACAAAGCTGGCAAGGCCAACTTCGAATACAGTCCAATGCTGAGAAAGGCTGCTTGTATAACAATTCTCAACGCAGAACACCCGCCACCCTGCGAGCCTGACTCAGACCTACCTGTCATTTGAAGCATTGAGTTCCAACACGGCATCTTTGAGTGCTGGGCCCAGAAGGGCTCGTGCCAAGCACAGAATGCTTGTGGTCTTGCCAGTTCCTGGCGGGCCCTGGGAACGAGATCTCCAGTAAGGGCTTCTAACTAACAGAAGGACCGCAGGCGGCTCCTGTGTTCTGCTCACCACTGTTTGCATCTCCGTCCCCTCTAGCCCTCGCATCCCATCCGCAGCACACACACAGATCAATAGGGCTGGCCAGGGACAGTGGCTCACGCCTGAAATCCTAGCACTTTGGGAGGCCGAGGCAGGCAGATCATCTGAGTCACAAGTTCGAGACCAGCCTGGCCAATGAGGCAAAACCCCATCTCTACTAAAAAATACAAAAATTAGCTGGGTGTGGTGGCGTGCCCCTGTAGTCCCAGCTACTCAGGAGGCTGAGGTGGGAGAATCACTTGAACCCGGGAGGTGGAGATTGAGGTGAGCTGAGATCACACCACTGCACTCAAGCCTGGCGAGGTTGTCTCCCAAAAAAAAAAAAAAAAAAAGCCCAGGTGCAGTGGCTCACGCCTGTTGGGAGGCAGAGGCAGGCAGATCACCTGAGGTCTGGAGTTCAAGACCAGCTGACCAACATGAAGCAACCCAGTCTTTACTAAAAATACAAAAAATTAGCTGGGTGTGGTGGCGCATGCCTGTAATCTCAGCTACTCAGAGGCTGAGGCAGGAGAATCGCTTGAACCTGGGAGGTGGAGGCTGCAGTGAGCCAAGATCGTGCCATTGCACCACTCCAGCCTGGGCGACAGAGCAAGACTCCATTAAAAAAACAAAACAAAACAAAAAAAACACAGCAACCAACTCCAGGCCTCCCAACTGACTTGAGTGAAACGCTTCCCTTTGCTCGGGGAATGGTGAGAGGCTGTCTGCGGAGGGAACGCTGTGTACAAGAAAGCACTTCAGTGGGCAGCAGGAGGAGACAATGCCACGCTCAACAGGCTCAGGGCTGCGTACTCACCGCAATGATGATGTTGGGCACATTCCCTTCCCTTGCAAAGACCTAAAGTGAAAATGATCATTAAAACTGGTTAAAACTTGCTTCTGGATGACTATAGAAAAAAGAATAAACACGGAGGTTAAAACTTGGCTGAGCACAATGGCTCATGCCTGTAATCCTAGTAATTTGGGAGGCCAAGGTGGGAGGATCACTTGAGGCCAGGAGTTAGAGGTCAGCCTTGGCAACATAGCGAGCCCCTGCCTCCCCAAAAAATAAACAAAATTAGCCAGGCATACTGGTGTGCACCTGTACTCCCAGCTACTCAGGAGGCTGAGGTGAGAGGATCGCTTGAGCCTGAGAAGTGGAGGCTGCAGTGAGCTGTGATTGCACCACTGCACGCCAGCCTGGGCAAGAGCGTCACCCTGTCTTAAAAAGAAAACAAAACGGCTGGGCGCGGTGGCTCAAGCCTGTAATCCCAGCACTTTGGGAGGCCGACGCGGGTGGATCAAGAGGTCAAGAGATCGAGACCATCCTGGTCAATATGGTGAAACCCCGTCTCTACTAAAAATACAAAAAATTAGCTGGGCATGGTGGCGCATGCCTGTAATCCCAGCTACTCAGGAGGCAGAGGCAGGAGAATTGCCAGAACCCAGGAGGTGGAGGTTGCGGTGAGCCGAGATCGCGCCATTGCACTCCTGCCTGGGTAACATGAGTGAAACTCTGTCTCAAAAAAACAAAAAAAAAAAACAAAACACAAAACCTGGTTAATTCGTAAGCTTTAGGAGCTGACTCTTCCCAGCCACACAGCCCGTACAGCAAACGTGGGTACAGATTTCTCCGTGTGGACTGGGTGGCTCATGGAACTCTCATTTCTTTTCTTCTTTTAGAGATGGGTCTCGCTCCGTCACCTAGGCTGGAGTGCAGTGGCATGATCAAGGCTCACTGCAGCGTCGGATCCCTGGGCTCAATAGATCCTCCTGCCTTGGTCTCCTGAGCAGCTAGGACTGCAGGTCCTCACCCCAGCATCTTAAAAACTCAACACTTCATTCTTCTGTACGAACCCGAGGCTTCACCCATGTTTCCCGTCGTGGACTGTCCAACCCACGAAGCTGAGGTGGCCATCATCTTGGTTTGGCCTCATCCTCACCCCGAATACCTAAATTACCAGGGCTTCATCCTCCTCGTCTCCAGGCCCCTTTATTTCTCTCCATCCCCACTAGCACTTTCTGAAGCCCATTACCTCTGTCTGATTGCCATAATGGGCCATTAACTCATCCCCGTGCTTCCAATCCTGCCGGTGCTTTCAATTCTGCCCGATTCAAATCCACCTCCCACCCTGTACCCACAACCACCTTTCTAAAGTACACACCTATTAAAACATTTTCCTGGCACAGTGGCTCACACCTGTAATCCTAGCATTTTGGGAGGCCAAGGCAGGTGGACAACCTGAGGTCAGGACTTCGGGACCACCCTGACCAACATGGAGAAACCGCATTTCTACCTAAGATACAAAATTTGCTGGGTGTGGTTTTGCATGCCTGTAATCCCAGCTACTTGGGAGGCTGAGGTTTCAGTGAACTGGGATTGCGCCACTGCGCTCCAGCCTGGGCAACAAGAGTGAAACTCTGTCTCAAAAAGAAAAAAACATTTTTACTTAACTGAAATCCTTGACCTCTCCCTGTCCTCACTATGAAGCCCAAACTCTTTGTTTCTCAGAGTAAGGGTCTTGCTCTGTCATCTAGGCTAGAGTGCAGTGGCGTGATCATAGCTCGCTGCAGCGTCAAACCCCTAGGCTCAAGACATCCCCTAGACTTGGTCTCTTGAGTAGCTGGGATTAGGCACTTGCCACCATGCCTGGTTTGAAGCTCACTCTACAGGCACGTGCCACCACACCCAGCTGATTTTCAAATTCATAGAGACTGGTTTCACCATGTTGCCCAGGCTGATCTCAAACACCTGGCCTCAAGTGAGCTGCCTGCCTTAGCCTCCCAAAGTGTTGGGATTACAGGTGTGAGCCACCGCACCCAGCCTTAGGCAATCTTTTAAAAAGCCACTTGGCTGGGCCTGATGGCTCATGCCTGTAATCACAGCACTTTGGGAGGCTGAAGTGGGTGGATCACGAGGTCAGAAGTTTAAGACCAGCCTGGCTAAGATGGTGAAATCCCGTCTCTATTAAAAATACACACATTAGTAGGACGTGGTGGCGGGCGACTGTAATCCCAGCTACTCGGGAAGCTGAGGCAGAAAACTGCTTGTACCTGGGAGGCGGAAGCTGCAGTGAGCTGAGATCGTGCCACTGCACTCCAGTCTCAGCGACAGAGCAAGATTCCGTCTCAAAAAAAATAAAATAAAAATAGTAGGGCCTGGTGCTACGGCTAATGCCTGTAATCCCAGGACTTTGGGAAGCCGAGGCGGGCAGATCACCAGCTTAAGAGACAGAGACCAGCCTGGCTAACATGGTGAAGCCCCCTTTCTACTAAAACTACAAAAATTAGCTGGGCGTGGTGGCGGGCCCCTGTAGTCCCAGCTACTCAGGAGGCTGAGGCAGGAGAATCGCTTGAACCCGGGTGGCAGAAGTTGCAGTGAGCCCCGATCGCGCCACTGCACTCCAGCCTAGCAACAGAGCGAGATTCTGTCTTAAAAATAAATAAATACAAATAAGAAGCCACTAACCTCTAGCCTGCTCACGGTGTCTTCATTCCCGACAATTTCATTCAGCTTTACTGGCCTATATTTTTCAACCCTATTAAGAAAATGCATAAAAATGTTGGCATGGTTATCTTCCACTACCCCCACAGAAAAGTACTTAAAGGCCATCCCAAGAGCTTTGTTGGAAAATTATATACATTCAGTACAAATATGCCAAATGGCTGCAGGTTTTAAATGTAAGATGACGGCTCGGCATGGTAATCCCAGCACTTTGGGAGGCTGAGGCAGGGGGATCACTTGAGATCAGCAGTTCGAGACCAGCCTGGCCAGCATGGTGAAACCCCATCTCTACTAAAAATAGAAAAATTAGCCAAATGTGGTGGTGCGTGTCTCTAATCCCAGCTTCTTTGGAGGCTGAGGCACGAGAATGGCTCAAACCCAGGAGGCACAAGTTGCAGTGAGCTCACACCACTACACTCCAGCCTGGGTAAAAGAGCAAGACTCTGTTTCAATAAATAAATAAACAAAGTGTAATAAGATGCCCAAGTGCCATTTGAAAAGTTAAGGGGGGCTAGCATGGTGGCTCACGCCTGTAAGCTCAGCACTTCGGGAGGCTGAGGTGGGCAGGTTACGAAGTCAGGAGTTCCAGACCAGCCTGACCAACATGGCAAAACCCTATCTCTATTAAAAATACAAAAATTAGCTGGGCACAATAGCAGGTGCCTGTAATCCCAGCTACTTGGGAGATGAGGCAGGAAAATCACTTGAACCTGGGAGGTGGAGGTTGCAGTTAGCTGAGATTGTGCCATTGCACTCCAGCCTGGGCAACAGAGTGAGACTCCATCTCAAAAAAAAAAAAAAAAAAGTTAAGGGCGTGAGAATTGCATAGCAAAGGCTTCAAACCTGCCACAACAGAAAAACACCTGTTGCTGCTGGAGCAGGGCCAGCGTAGGCCATCTGGATCAATGTGACACTGTGCCACAACCCCATCTGTGTGTCACAAGAGGCCCACCACACAGCGCTGACATCATTTGGTATGACAACATGGGTGCAACGAAGCCCCTTTCTCATCCCTTACCTGCCAGTTTCTGCAGACGTGTACCAAGTACATGGCTGGCTAGACAAAAACCCCAGGCCTAGGCCAGGTACGGTGCCTCACGCCTGTAATCACTTTGGGAGGCCAAGGCGCGTGGATCAGTTGAGGTCAGGAGTTCCAGAACAGCCTGGCCAACATGGTGAAACCCTGTCTCTACTAAAAATACAAAAATTAGCAGGGTGTGGTGGCACACGCCTGTAATCCCACCTGTTAGGGAGTCTGAGGCAGGAGAATCGCTTGAATCCAGGAGAGGTTCAATTGCATTCCAGCCTGGTCGACAGAGTGTGACTCCATTTCAAAAAAAAAAAAATTGGCCGGGCTTGGTAGTGCATGCCTGTAGTCCCACCTACTTGGGAGACTGAGGCAGAAGGATCACTAGAGCCAATGAGTTGGACACCAGCCTGGGCAACACAGCAAGATCCGGGTCTCGATTTTTTAAATTTCAAATGTAAATGTTATTGAACCTAATAGTCAAAATATTATTTTCAGCATGTAATCAATATTTTTTTAACAGCCTGAGGTTTTTAAAAACACTAGGTCATACACTAGTGGGCACAAAAATTTCTGAAAAACCGACTAGGTCAGAGAAGGTGGCCACCCGGGGTAGCCCTAATTGTCATAAGCATTGCTGTGAGCGGGACTCCGCTTGCAGAGTTTACACCGACCACCTGGGGCCTCTTCCTCCCTCGGAATCCTCCAGAACAAGCCCATGGCCCGAGTTTCTTCGGAGCACGGCCCGCCCCTCGCCCACCCTCACATCCAAACGCGCCCATTCCTTGCGGCCTGGGGCCTCACCACGGCAGCTCATAGTGGCCGGCGCTCCCAGGGGCCTTGCTGGAGGCAGGAGTAGGGTCCTGGGCCTCCAGCTCGTCCGTGCCACCACCTCCGGCCTCCACCTCCATTCTCACGCGTCCTCTTCCCGCCACCCGAACACCAGTCCCGTGGCGTCATCACGCAAGCCCCGCCCCCTGCCTTCCGCCGGGCGCGAGCGGAAGCCGCGTGCCTGCGCCATTCCGCGCCTGCGCAGAGGGTTCCGGCGGTGCTCAGGCGGCCATCGCTGGAGGCCGCGGTTGCTACTGGAGACTTGACGTCCGGCCTGGGAGCTACAGGAAGGCGAGATCTGGCCGCGACGCCTTCCGAGAAAGCAGGTCGCTCTCGAAACGGACGTTTGTGTGGAAGATCCGCTCCACGGCGGCGTGGGAGGAGCAGGGCCTGGGGGCGTTGCGGCCAAACGCAGGCATTGATGCCGGGACACGGACAACGCCAGCCACCTGCCTCTGCTGGGCAGCGGGGTCTGGGGATGACGTCTGGGGCTCCCCATGCCTACTTTTCCAGATGGCTCCGAATGTCACCGTGAGCTGCTCCCGTTGGGTGGGTTCCTGCACCGCAACGGCGTTTGGCACTCGAGGTTTATTATCAGGGAATTCTCAGCTGCAAATGGGAATCCCCACCCCATTTTGCCGAAGAGGAAACTGAAACTGTCCCTATGTCAGAGGAAATGCAATGTTCGTTCCAGGAGGATAGGGATTCAAGGCCAGGCGCAGTGGCTGACCCCTGTAATCCCAGCACTCAGGGGGACAGAGACCGGAGGAGCGATTGAGCCCAGGAGTTGGAGACCAGCTTGGGCAACATAGTGAGCCCCTGCCCTCCCAATAAAAAGGCCGGGCGCGGTGGCTCAAGCCTGTAATCCCAGCACTTTGGGAGGCCGAGGCGGGTGGATCGCGAGGTCAAGAGATCGAGACCATCCTGGTC